TTTAAAAACATAATATCAATTGATTATTATTATCATATACTAATTATTATTATTATTCTTTATTATCGTTGTTTTTTTGGGAACTGGAGACAGCAGGCTGTGGACTGTATGATCTACATCGTCCCTGTCCTTGATTTGAACTAATGTTACCTGTGCATGAGCTGACTTTGGTGACTTCACTGAACCCTGTAAAGTAACCTGTTACAATGTTAGAGATATACAACAATAAAAAAAATGATTTGCTTAAACTACATACACTATTTAAAATAACCAATGTTATGAGCTTATAACTAAATGTTACCATGTGCTGAATTGTTGACCATATATAGTTATTGATTTGTGTAATGAAAAAATAAAAACTTTATGTAACCAGTTTCCGTTTGCCTCTGCTGTTGGCTCAGTATGCAAACCAACTATCCCAGGGTCTGTCACCACATACCAACCTGTAGTAAGTGAGTAGAGCTCAGCAGAAAGGAGCCAACAAGCAGTGACAATGAAGAGAATGACTTCAGTGTGTGATTCGTTCAGTGCCAGTACTTCTGCAAAGCAAAAGTTTACATGTGCTTCAGTAACCGGGTTACAATCGGCTTTCTTGAGCAACCTGATTTCCTAACTGTCATGAAAACAGGAAACCCGGTTTCCGTAATCGGGGTCAGGGATTAGGGAAACCTGATTTCCCCTGGTAGATTTCTACGCGTATGTATTAGGGTTTATCTACTGTATAGGTTCTTAAGCGTGTACTGTGTTAGATAAAAGTATCAAAGTATCACACAAAAACCCTCTCAACCATCTTAAAAGTATCAAACTATCACACAAAAACCCTCTCAACCATCTTTCTGTTGGACATACAAGGTGTCCTCTTCATATTTAACATGTAGTATGGACCCCTACTGCATATACATGTAGTTTTATAAAAGCAGTTGTTTCATTGCCTCAGGAAACCAAAATGCTCAGGTAAAGAACAAGTGGGATAAAAGATTATGAACTGCCAACATCCTCACTGGGTTAACCTGGTAATGTCTTTGCAGAAAGGAAGTTGATATGGTCTAAGTTTCCTAATAAAATCTTATTCATCTGTGAATGTTACAGTGTAATAAGAAAAATATAGCACTTGCAGGATATGAGCACAGCTTTTCCAATATCATATATAATCACTGAAATTTGTTACAGGACAAGGTGACACTTTGTCATGCTTTGGCTCAGCAGAGCAAAGACATCATTTGCTAAGAAAAATAGAGACAATGCCGGGGAATTTCAGACCATGTCCTATGCATCTTATCCCACACAACTTTTAATCATTTTCAGGACAGATACAAAAATGAGGTGAAGGAATAAAATGACATACATTAACAAATGGTTATCTTTTCCTTTGTGCTTTCAAAACCAATTAGCCTTTGTTTAATTCTCTCATTCATTCATGCCTTTTATTCCTGGGCCTTTGACATAGTAGTGATATTCAGATGAGATAGTCTCAGACATGAAGGTGGGGGCTTAGTGTATTTTGGTACTAGCACAACATGTCTGGCTGACTGTGGCCTTTGGTAGCCTGTGGTGTTGCACTGTAATTGATTAAGTCAATAGCTTTTCTAATTTAGCTGTCCTTGTTGCTCTTTTGCATATGATGCAAGGTTACTGTCATTCTTTGAGGAAGTCACCCCTCTTCGCTGAAAAGCTCCAAGGTTTATTTACACTTGTTGGTCTAGTGGTGTTAAAAGTAGTTATAAATGCCATGTCATAAGTACAGTATTGCATTCTTACTCGTCTGTGTAGAGTTTAGAGACACATCTGCACAGAGCTGTTGCTTGCACTCTGTCTTTGTTCCAATGGCTCAGTGTCTCAACATGAACTTGATCTGTAATTTGATTTGTGATTCTCCCAGTGGACTGACCTGTCTAATTAATACTTACATTAAGCAGGGAAAACATCCTTTCCCAGCTAACTGTAAATATTGTAATCTAGTGAACAAACAATGCTTTTTCATTACACTTGTAGTAATCTGATTGTTCACGGAATCAGAGTATTGTTTTCTTTTGTTTGCCAGAGTGTGTTTTGTCTTTGTGGTGATGCAGTGAGGAATTTATTGTTCGTATCTCATGTTCTACAGAATTGGCCCAGCCCTCCCAGGCGGAAATGATGGGGAGTGTGCGAAGCCACCGCTACAGCATTGTGTCCTCTGAGGAAGACGGCATGAAGCTGGCCACTATTACTGTCCCAAATGGCTATGGAAACGGCAGTGTCAACAAGGTGCACTCACAGCACCAACATCAGAGCCGCTTTGTCAGCAAGGACGGCCACTGCAATGTGCAGTTTATCAATGTGAGAGAGAAGGGCCAGCGGTACCTGGCAGATATCTTCACCACCTGTGTGGACATTCGCTGGCGCTGGATGCTGCTCATATTCTTCCTTTCTTTCCTGCTGTCGTGGTTGTTTTTTGGCTTTGTCTTCTGGGTAGTGGCCCTCTCTTACGGGGACTTAGAGAATGAGACTCAGGTGTGTGTTTCCAATGTGGACAGCTTCACTGCTGCTTTCCTGTTCTCAGTGGAGACTCAAACCACCATCGGCTATGGTTATCGCTATGTGACTGAGGAGTGCCCCATTGCTGTTTTCATGGTCGTCTTCCAAAGCATTGTGGGCTGCATTATTGATGCTTTCATCATCGGTGCTGTCATGGCCAAGATGGCCAAGCCCAAGAAGAGAGACTCTGGTGTTCAGCCACTATGCTACAGTGGCCATGAGGGATGGGAAACTATGCCTGATGTGGCGCGTGGGGAACCTGAGGAAGAGTCACTTGGTGGAGGCCCACGTCAGGGCTCAGCTCCTCAAGTCCCACACCACTGCCGAGGGAGAGTTCATCCCTCTGGATCAGATAGACATTGACGTAGGCTTTGACAGTGGCATTGACAGAATCTTTTTGGTGTCTCCAATAACTATTGTGCATGAGATTGATGAGGAGAGTCCTTTCTATGATATGAGCAAAGAAGAGTTGGAGATGTCAGAGTTTGAAATTGTAGTCATTCTGGAGGGCATGGTCGAGGCTACGGCTATGACCACTCAGTGTCGGAGCTCCTATGTGGCCAGCGAGATCCTCTGGGGCCACCGGTTTGAGCCGGTGCTCTTTGAAGAGAAGAACTACTACAAAGTGGATTACTCCCGCTTTGACAATACCTATGAGGTGCCCAGCACGCCTCATTGTAGTGCCAGGGAACTAGCTGAGAAGAAATCTAGAACCTCCAGCTCGAGAAACGCTTTTTGTTACGAGAACGAGGTAGCTCTCGAAAAAGTTGAGCTGGAAGAGGAGTTGGAGAAGAATGACGGGCAGATGAATGCTGCTGAGGTTGGTGCACTTGAGGACACAAGCACAGATGTGGTGTCAGACTCTGAATGCAATCTGGACTCTTTGCCTTTGGAATCAAGACCTTTGACAGTTGAATCAGAAATATGAAATAAAAAAAGGGGTTAAACACTACAATAGGGTATGTTAAGTTTAGCTTGAACCTTGGTTCTGATGGCTGTTGTTGATAATGCATGATAGTTTGTAAAAGAGTATGAGATACTTTGTGCAGACACAAAACCAAAGAAGAACTCCAAGGAGATACAAACATATTGTTTATAGTGAACATGGAGGTAAATTAACTGGTTGCACTGAGCTTGAGTGATAAAACAGTGTTAGATGTCATCTCTTAAACACTGTGCAGTCTGTTTATGTGCACACTGCCCTTATTAAGTGAAAATATATTAGTATAACAGCTGACTGGGTTCAGAAAAATGATTACTTTATTCATGTGCACTCTCAGGTTGCACACTTTGCATTGAGCATCCTGAAAAAGGTTTTTAGGTTTTTTAATGCCAACCTAAATTTCTGTGTTTTAACCACATGCATGAAACAGGTTACTGTTTGTTAATGAGCTGGTCTCTTAGCAAAGTATATTTCTAGTCTTTTTCCGAGTGGTGGTCTTGGTATGTTCTCGTGGCACAAGGCAGGGAAAATATTTTCAGTTTTTGAATACACTATGCTCCTCAACCTATCATCTCATCTCAGTATGGCATCTTTTGCAGCGCGTGCCTCAGTCCCAGCGGACGTTTTGCTTCGACTGAGCGCACATTGCAGCAGATGTCACAGGAAGAATAAGCAGTCAGAGGTGGTTCACTGTACCGTATATTACCACTTCTTACAGCTTCTATTGTGCAATATAGTTGAGTGGTAGTAGGCGACCCTGAGCCAAGATTATGAATGTTGCTGTTAAGTGCTGCTACGTTACATATTAAATGTGTAGAGAGAAATTGTATTATCTGTCTTTTGCAGTATCCATTTTGAAGAGTGTGATTCAAGTTTTTTTTTCAAAAGCCTTAGTGTCCTTTCTTCCTCACCAGTGAATTTCCCCTGAGTAACAGCGGAAATTCTTGTATTAACCAAAGTCCAATGTGTACAAAAGAGACAACCATAAATCATCTGCTAGTCGATGTTGTTTTGAAACCTGAACTTTTCCTCGTCTAACAGTAGTTGGCTGTTAAAGCATTAACTGATTTGAGTTGATTTTGGTATTGTTCATATTAACATCAGCGCTCTTGGCATGGCGGTCATGCAGGATTTGGATACAGCTTAGCTATCTCACTGTACCACTGCAGGTCTTATCATTGTGAAATGGGCTCTTATTTTGTCTTATTACAGATCAGGTTCACTTTCAATCACAAATCCTGAATGCAGGTAGCACACTTGACTTTAGTCTTATACAAGATTGAGCTTTAATATATTTTTTCTTTTACTTATTACTCTAGGTGTTATTGTGACACATTCATGCTTGGATAGTGTCAGTGGAAGCCAGAACACTGTACCGTCTGGTAAGGAAATGTATTAAAATGTTTTATCTGTTCTCACTGACACATCTCCTGTCTTAGGTCTTTTATAAACCAGGGTCTTCCTCCTTCCTACACAAACCAGAGACTGTACCATTTTTTAAAATGTTTGCAAATTATAAAGCAAGTACTGTATATTGATATTGCCGTTGATGAAAACTGTTCAAAAACTTTTTTCAATAAAAACATAAAAAAATTGTGATGTTGATGCATTGATTGTAAACAACAAATCAATTTCAACAGATTATACAGTGTTTACATTGTGTTCTTGCTCCATCACCTGCATCTGTTTCCAGGGATTTGCATTGTGACCCAAAACGTGTGACATCTGGAGCTGGTGAGCTGAGACCTAGTTGACTGTTCTAGCTAAGGATGCATATGCTGCTCCTCTTGATGAGGTCCAAAGCACCCATCAGAGAGGAGTGACCTGCCCTCAACACAGGTACACAGCACACCTGCAGAAGCACAGGCCCAGACTTTCCTGTTCTCTGCAGGATCTAGTCTTGTTGTTCATGTTTTCTGCTTGAGTTTGTCCCTGGGATCATTCAAAACTGTTTCTCCAACGCTTTTACCAAAAACTTAGACTGTTTTCCAAAGCAGAATTGGCCCAGCCCTCCCAGGCGGAAATGATGGGGAGTGTGCGAAGCCACCGCTACAGCATTGTGTCCTCTGAGGAAGACGGCATGAAGCTGGCCACTATTACTGTCCCAAATGGCTATGGAAACGGCAGTGTCAACAAGGTGCACTCACAGCACCAACATCAGAGCCGCTTTGTCAGCAAGGACGGCCACTGCAATGTGCAGTTTATCAATGTGAGAGAGAAGGGCCAGCGGTACCTGGCAGATATCTTCACCACCTGTGTGGACATTCGCTGGCGCTGGATGCTGCTCATATTCTTCCTTTCTTTCCTGCTGTCGTGGTTGTTTTTTGGCTTTGTCTTCTGGGTAGTGGCCCTCTCTTACGGGGACTTAGAGAATGAGACTCAGGTGTGTGTTTCCAATGTGGACAGCTTCACTGCTGCTTTCCTGTTCTCAGTGGAGACTCAAACCACCATCGGCTATGGTTATCGCTATGTGACTGAGGAGTGCCCCATTGCTGTTTTCATGGTCGTCTTCCAAAGCATTGTGGGCTGCATTATTGATGCTTTCATCATCGGTGCTGTCATGGCCAAGATGGCCAAGCCCAAGAAGAGAAATGATAGTGTTCAGCCACTATGCTACAGTGGCCATGAGGGATGGGAAACTATGCCTGATGTGGCGCGTGGGGAACCTGAGGAAGAGTCACTTGGTGGAGGCCCACGTCAGGGCTCAGCTCCTCAAGTCCCACACCACTGCCGAGGGAGAGTTCATCCCTCTGGATCAGATAGACATTGACGTAGGCTTTGACAGTGGCATTGACAGAATCTTTTTGGTGTCTCCAATAACTATTGTGCATGAGATTGATGAGGAGAGTCCTTTCTATGATATGAGCAAAGAAGAGTTGGAGATGTCAGAGTTTGAAATTGTAGTCATTCTGGAGGGCATGGTCGAGGCTACGGCTATGACCACTCAGTGTCGGAGCTCCTATGTGGCCAGCGAGATCCTCTGGGGCCACCGGTTTGAGCCGGTGCTCTTTGAAGAGAAGAACTACTACAAAGTGGATTACTCCCGCTTTGACAATACCTATGAGGTGCCCAGCACGCCTCATTGTAGTGCCAGGGAACTAGCTGAGAAGAAATCTAGAACCTCCAGCTCGAGAAACGCTTTTTGTTACGAGAACGAGGTAGCTCTCGAAAAAGTTGAGCTGGAAGAGGAGTTGGAGAAGAATGACGGGCAGATGAATGCTGCTGAGGTTGGTGCACTTGAGGACACAAGCACAGATGTGGTGTCAGACTCTGAATGCAATCTGGACTCTTTGCCTTTGGAATCAAGACCTTTGACAGTTGAATCAGAAATATGAAATAAAAAAAGGGGTTAAACACTACAATAGGGTATGTTAAGTTTAGCTTGAACCTTGGTTCTGATGGCTGTTGTTGATAATGCATGATAGTTTGTAAAAGAGTATGAGATACTTTGTGCAGACACAAAACCAAAGAAGAACTCCAAGGAGATACAAACATATTGTTTATAGTGAACATGGAGGTAAATTAACTGGTTGCACTGAGCTTGAGTGATAAAACAGTGTTAGATGTCATCTCTTAAACACTGTGCAGTCTGTTTATGTGCACACTGCCCTTATTAAGTGAAAATATATTAGTATAACAGCTGACTGGGTTCAGAAAAATGATTACTTTATTCATGTGCACTCTCAGGTTGCACACTTTGCATTGAGCATCCTGAAAAAGGTTTTTAGGTTTTTTAATGCCAACCTAAATTTCTGTGTTTTAACCACATGCATGAAACAGGTTACTGTTTGTTAATGAGCTGGTCTCTTAGCAAAGTATATTTCTAGTCTTTTTCCGAGTGGTGGTCTTGGTATGTTCTCGTGGCACAAGGCAGGGAAAATATTTTCAGTTTTTGAATACACTATGCTCCTCAACCTATCATCTCATCTCAGTATGGCATCTTTTGCAGCGCGTGCCTCAGTCCCAGCGGACGTTTTGCTTCGACTGAGCGCACATTGCAGCAGATGTCACAGGAAGAATAAGCAGTCAGAGGTGGTTCACTGTACCGTATATTACCACTTCTTACAGCTTCTATTGTGCAATATAGTTGAGTGGTAGTAGGCGACCCTGAGCCAAGATTATGAATGTTGCTGTTAAGTGCTGCTACGTTACATATTAAATGTGTAGAGAGAAATTGTATTATCTGTCTTTTGCAGTATCCATTTTGAAGAGTGTGATTCAAGTTTTTTTTTCAAAAGCCTTAGTGTCCTTTCTTCCTCACCAGTGAATTTCCCCTGAGTAACAGCGGAAATTCTTGTATTAACCAAAGTCCAATGTGTACAAAAGAGACAACCATAAATCATCTGCTAGTCGATGTTGTTTTGAAACCTGAACTTTTCCTCGTCTAACAGTAGTTGGCTGTTAAAGCATTAACTGATTTGAGTTGATTTTGGTATTGTTCATATTAACATCAGCGCTCTTGGCATGGCGGTCATGCAGGATTTGGATACAGCTTAGCTATCTCACTGTACCACTGCAGGTCTTATCATTGTGAAATGGGCTCTTATTTTGTCTTATTACAGATCAGGTTCACTTTCAATCACAAATCCTGAATGCAGGTAGCACACTTGACTTTAGTCTTATACAAGATTGAGCTTTAATATATTTTTTCTTTTACTTATTACTCTAGGTGTTATTGTGACACATTCATGCTTGGATAGTGTCAGTGGAAGCCAGAACACTGTACCGTCTGGTAAGGAAATGTATTAAAATGTTTTATCTGTTCTCACTGACACATCTCCTGTCTTAGGTCTTTTATAAACCAGGGTCTTCCTCCTTCCTACACAAACCAGAGACTGTACCATTTTTTAAAATGTTTGCAAATTATAAAGCAAGTACTGTATATTGATATTGCCGTTGATGAAAACTGTTCAAAAACTTTTTTCAATAAAAACATAAAAAAATTGTGATGTTGATGCATTGATTGTAAACAACAAATCAATTTCAACAGATTATACAGTGTTTACATTGTGTTCTTGCTCCATCACCTGCATCTGTTTCCAGGGATTTGCATTGTGACCCAAAACGTGTGACATCTGGAGCTGGTGAGCTGAGACCTAGTTGACTGTTCTAGCTAAGGATGCATATGCTGCTCCTCTAATTTGGAGCAGTGGCCCAAATTCCACACTGCTAGCTGTTGGAGCTCACACCACCATTTACTGTAATTCACTAAACAGACTTACTCAAGTTCTCTGAAATCCATGAGCCACTGTGTTAAATCAGTCGGCTCCTCTTGAGGCCAGTGACAGCAGAGGAAAGAATGTATCTTTCTCTTTCCCCAGCCTCCTTCAGTAAACTCTGGAAAATAGATGTATTCTCCCCCACAGAGCTTTTTGAGGAATGTGTCAATGTGTAATATTAGTTGGAATATAATACTGTAGAATTATTATTTCTTAAAATAAGTTTGAATGAACACAAGTACAACATACAAAAGCCTTAATCTTGCCCTTATCTTTTTTAATCCTAAATTTTTTTCACTTATTTCATGGATTTCCAATAGAAATTCTAGTCTTATTGATAATGATCTGGCTGCAAAATCACACGGACAAACACACTGCATAATAAACCAGTACAATAAAAATGATGCAACCCTTGTGTGATTCCCCTACCAGCTCCTCTAATCCAGCATAAATATGCGTAAAACACTATAAAGCAATAAATGTGATCAATAAGGCTGTATTACAACATCTGTCAGTAAATTTAGTTAGTTTCCACTCACAACTACATTCTGCCAGCATGAGACATAGTTGCAGAATCTATTGATCAGGAACATCCGCTGGGAGCCAGTGAGCTGATTTGATTTGGTTGCACATAGGAAGTTGGTGCTGCCTCTGGGCTTTTTCCACATTAGCCTTTGTATGCAAATGTCCCAGTTGTACATATAATAGTTTAATAAAGTTCATACACTATATACATCATGTGACATAATGGAAGTGAAAGAATTTTTTACATTTCTTTGAGTTTCAGAAATGAATTACAAGTACAAACCATAGTGTGACATAGTGAATGTGACATTAAATACATGTAAAAAAAAATGTGTATGCTAAGATTTTCATCCATCTTTGTATTAATCTTTGAGTCTTTGTATGTGACCGAATTTATGAGAACTCAGAAGTATCTTAAATATTAAAATATAAGTATTTTTATTTAGCACAGTTTAGCTGTTTTAAATTCAATAACATTGAGTTCAGTTTTTGTGAGACAAAAACCCAAAATGATCGATCTCACATTTATACCACACCATCACACAAGTCATGACACAGATGTACACAAAGCTAAAAGTGAAATAGAAACCAAAGAAGACCTTGTCCACTATGTCGGCAAACGTCTCTTGTGTCTTCTGTTCCAGTTCCTTGCTCTGGGATACTTCCAGGATGCTGACCACCTTTTTGAGCAATTGCTTGATCTCCTCTGGACCATCCAGCTTGATAACACTGATGTCAGCTTTGATTTCTGTAGCCATTAAAATACCTTTTTTTTTTGTTTATTAAAAATCAAGACTGTGTTTTCAGCATGTTAAACAATGATGTCTTCCTCACCTTCATCCTTTTTCTTTTCCTTGTGTCTTGTGATATGGGCCATAGGCCAGGAGAAAAAAGTAGTGCGGCCTTCTTTGGACATCCGTGTTAGCACCAAAGACTCCAGCATGCTCACCACTAAGATCACCAGAGAAACACAGAAGTGGATTCCTGCAGCACAAACCAATGGTTAGTGACTCACAATGTGATGGTGCTCGTACAGTGTATTTTGTTGTGCCTTTTGAGTATGTTTGTATGTTTCATGACATGCATGCGAGCTGACTGACGGATGACCGGGCTGCACTGGGAGTCTCCTGGGAGCTCATCATTGAGGATGCCAAGGAACATGGTGAAGCTGAGCACCAGAGTGACTTTAAAACCGTTGCGTTCGCCGCCTCCCACTGGCAGGGCAAAGCTGACCATGTCAGCCAGGACGAGAAGAAAACTGGGCAGCAGTAATGTGATGAAGGGGTTGCCATATTTCAGGCTAAGTGACACCTGAGGAGTATGGATCACACATTTTCATGGTTGTAGAAGGATTTCCTTTTTGCTGCAGCCCAGTCTGAAATCTGAAATTTTTTTTGTGTCCCACCCAAAACTTTAAACACAAGTCTGATCAACACGTGATACTGTATTTTTATTACATAAACAGAACAGTTTCTTTGTTTCGTTCTTTTTAAAATGTATGCATTTAATCAGAAATATTTTATGGACATTTCAAGTTTAATCGCAAAATTGAAAGTTAAATACACTTTTTAGTCATATATTGTATAATGACCTCTGACGGACCACCTGCAGTAGCGTTACAGCCCACCAGGGGTCGCGGGCCACACTTTGGAATACAATGGCATACAAAATTTTCTACTTCTGTCTTATGCAAACTGGTGGCAACTTAAGTGTAAAACCTGAATGTTGTCTTTATTTTACAACTTTATTTACAGCATGTCCAATAGCATCTGTCTTGACTAACAATGACCAGCATATTGTATACAGCATATGTTTATAAAAAACAACAACAAAGAGTAAGGTATTGTTGGTTAAGGCTACAGTATGTAACTTGCTTTCAACTATTTTTATAGAAATATGCTCCAAAACTTGCCTTAATGTGGAGAGGTGCTGTGGAAGCCTCCTGTGACCTACACCCACAGGCAGCAGTGCAGAGATAATAGTTTCTAAAAGGCTTTGAGCAGGATTGGCCTCTCTAAGCATTCATAGATTTTCAGTTATTTCAGCTTGATCAGTAAGTTTTGTTGCATTCTCATTTGTTGTAATTTCATAATGACAAATATGTGAAGAGCTGGGCAGAGCGTGGTGGAGTGTATCAGATTGTAGTAGAGCACAGTGGAGCAGGGAGAGGGAGCGCTGGGGGGAGCAGAATGGGTTGATCTGGACTTTCATGCTAGTGCTACATTAAGTTACATATTTTAGCTTTCAGTAAAAAACAAAGGGCTGCCACACTTTGCAAAATTTATCTTGTTAGTTTTCATCACAGTGAATCTAATACTCATCGTTTTTAAGAAAAAGAGTAAATCTCTAATCCAGAGTTAAAGGAGGGAGGAGCGGATTGTGTCTAGCTGAGCAGAATGAATGTTCTAACAGTGAAACACAGGCCTGCAGTGCAGCTGTGTCCCAGAAACGGAGTCACGCAAATATACCACAGTAAGTCTATAAATGACTATGTGACAAAGAAAAGTGCAAAGCTCACACTTTGGTAATTTTGCACAAAACATGACTGAAATGAAAAATAGTGGCAGATAAAATTTTTGTTTTAACAATTAAGTGACTAAATGTTTTATTTTTAACTCAATCAGACATATTCCAATCTGCAGGAATTTGGTAAATAATTACTGAAATGACTATCTCCTCATGTTTGGTAACTTACCAGGATGTATGTGTGTTGATTTCCCTTTGACTCGAAGGACACATTGGTAGTTTTCCAGTCTCCCTGGGAACCACCATTCAACCGCAAATCACCAAATACCAGCTGTGTACCACATCCTGAAGGAAATCAGGTATTTTGCATTTAGGACATAGTATTTATGCTCCTTTCACACTAAATGACACAATAATATTATGACAATGCAAAAATAAATAGGACAGTTTTTCTAAATTTAAAATTCACAAAACCTGTCATGACCAAGGACAATAAGAGTTGACACATGTTCAAAATGCTGAAAATAAGCCAGGAAAAGCCAGTTTGCCGTAAACCTTGGATTAATATTTGTATAACTGAATTGCTGAGGTTACCGTCAAAGGACCATGATTCGACTGCGACGGGACAACTATCATCAGCGAAGGGATAGTTGAACATGTTGACTTCACAGTCCACCTCCGTAGTAACCAACACAGTGTGCCTCAGGGTGCCGTTACTGTATACCAGCAGGTCCTTAGAGCCATCCTCTATAGAGGTTTGTAGTCTACACACATAAGACACATCAGATGTTTCAAAAGAATTTCAAGAAATCCATGAATTGAGTTAGTGCTAATAACTGTAAGCTCTTATGTCATGTAACTGACTTACCCATTGGCTATTTGGAGCTCTGGGGTCCAGACATTGTCTGCTGGCAGAACCACCTCATCATAATTATAAACTGATGTGTTCCAACTCATCTCAGGGTCATTCCATATCTGCGGTTTGAAATCAAAATTATTGTGATTGAAACACTTTTGTTGTTGTTGTTAATTTAAGAGTAAAGTAAGTAACTTACAAGTGTGGCTTTCATATAACTTGTTAGGAGGAGCTGCTTTGTGCTCTGTTAAAATTAATAGCAAGCAAAACATTAATGCACAATTAAAGACAATTCATTTTAATAATTGAAATGATAAAAGTTCTGAGAGATCTCAGTTACCTCCTCCATAAAATGTAAAAGCCAATACTTACAACTGACAGTGTTTGGTACTCAATGACTGGCACATATATCGTATGATTGCAGTTTTGGTACTGCGGTTGAGATGAAATGTTTTTATTTATCAGCATTTCAGCCAGACATCTGCGACTTGTGCAGGTGGAGTCATCAGATCTACATCCTTAAATTGGAGACAAATGTGAAACGAAGCTCGGAGTATTTTCATAAACACTCACATAGTCAACAACATCTTAAATCATTGTTTTGTGAGATAAGTTACACTTACCTATTGTTAGAAAACCCAGTAAGAACACAAACCTCCCCAGACTGTGGGCAAAAAATCTTAACTTTTTTGAATGCATCATCACAGGAATCTGACTATTCATCTTCTGTTATGACTAATAAATGTATTATACATCGACCAGCAGCTGTGTCGGTTTGTCACCCTCCCTGTCTCCTGTCCTTTCTTTATCTTTTCAGCCTGACATAACACTTAAATAGGTCAGCTGTCTGTGACGAACAAGCATATATTCACAACACTCCTCATCCTGTGTGGGGAAACAAGATAATATGACTGGCCAACAACAATATGTAAGAATACCTTTCCGTGATCAATTAAACAGAGCTCAGCTTGATTTGGTCTGTTTACCTGCCAGTAGGTGCAGGTACCTCCAGCTGCTGTTTCTCTTTATGACTGGCTATGCTGCTCTGCATTACAATGTGACTATGGCTTTTAAGCACACCAGTGAGCTGAATCAGGCAATAATGGAGATGATTAGGTGAAAGAAACAGCGCTGCCAATCATATGGAGGACAAAGACTTGCGTGCCTTCTCAGAGACCGGCTATGGAAAACAACCCTTTACAGCTGGGTCATTTCTCATTTTTGCCATTTGCACAAACAATTTCATTCGTGAGATTATAAGGTGATTGCTAATTAAAATCTGCTCATAAACTAAAACTGCACTGCTTGCACAATATACTCTATACATATTTTATGCATTCATGCAATTTATATGAGTGAGGATAAATAAGGATAAATAGGATAAATAATTCTCCAGAATGACCATGCAGTTAAATCAACACTTTTTTAGCACCGTTTGAACAAAAACTGAACATGTTCGCGATCATGAAGAGAGGATTTGTTGTGGGACTGGTGCATTAGACCGAGTCAGTTTTACAGTGCCTTGCAAAAGTATTCGGCCCCTTTGAACTTTGCGACCTTTTGCCACATTTCAGGCTTCAAACATAAAAATATAAAACTGTAATTTTTTGTGAAGAATCAACAACAAGTGGGACACAATCATGAAGTGGAACAAAATTTATTGGATATTTCAAACTTTTTTAACAAATAAAAAACTGAAAAACTGGGCGTGCAAAATTATTCAGCCCCCTTAAGTTAATACTTTGTAGCGCCACCTTTTGCTGCGATTACAGCTGTAAGTCGCTTGGGGTATGTCTCTATCAGTTTTGCACATCGAGAGACTGAAATATTTGCCCATTCCTCCTTGCAAAACAGCTCGAGCTCAGTGAGGTTGGATGGAGAGCATTTGTGAACAGCAGTTTTCAGTTCTTTCCACAGATTCTCGATTGGATTCAGGTCTGGACTTTGACTTGGCCATTCTAACACCTGGATATGTTTAGTTTTGAACCATTCCATTGTAGATTTTGCTTTATGTTTTGGATCATTGTCTTGTTGGAAGACAAAGCTCCGTCCCAGTCTCAGGTCTTTTGCAGACTCCATCAGGTTTCCATCCAGAATGGTCCTGTATTTGGCTCCATCCATCTTCCCATCAATTTTAACCATCTTCCCTGTCCCTGCTGAAGAAAAGCAGGCCCAAACCATGATGCTGCCACCACCATGTTTGACAGTGGGGATGGTGTGTTCAGGGTGATGAGCTGTGTTGCTTTTACGCCAAACATAACGTTTTGCATTGTTGCCAAAAAGTTCGATTTTGGTTTCATCTGACCAGAGCACCTTCTTCCACATGTTTGGTGTGTCTCCCAGGTGGCTTGTGGCAAACTTTAAACGACACTTTTTATGGATATCTTTAAGAAATGGCTT